GTTTACACTGTGACACATGAGATTACTCTGTTGGACAGTTTAAATTTTGAACAGATTTCCAATCCAATTGACACTTGACAACAATGCAAGTGTCAAACAACGTGTCAAAAATCAATGTACAAATAGGAAAATTCAATCGGTAAGAGCCTTGCGACATGTATACTATGGTGTCCACTTTAGTTTACAATTTGCCATGTGACATTGTCCTATTGGACAGTATAAATTTCAAATAGTTTTTTCATCCAATTCACACTTGAGAAAAATGCAAGTGTCTAATAACGTGTCAAAAATCAGTGTACAAACAGTAAAGTTCAATCGGTAAGAAGCTTACGACATGTAAACTATGGTGTACACTTTAGTTTACACTTTGTCACGAGACAATACCCTGTTGGACAGTTTTAATTTCAAACAGTTTTTCCATCCAATGGACACTTGACAATAATGCAAGTGTCAAACAACGTGTCAAAAATCAATGTACAGATAGGAAAGTTCAATCGGTAAGAACCTTGCGATATGCACACTATGGTGTACACACTTTAGTTTACACCTTGCCATGCAACATTACCCTACTGGACAGTTTAAATTTAAAATAGTTTTCCCGTTCAATTGTCACTTGAAAATAATGCAAGTGTCAAACAATGTGTCAAAAATCAGTGTACAAGTAGCAAAGTTCAATCGGTAAGAACCTTGCTACATGTACACTGTGGTGTACACTTTAATTTACAATTTCCACGTGACATTACTCTGTTGGACAGTTTAAATTTCGAACAATTTTTGAATCCAATTGACACTTGACAACAATGCAAGTGTCGAACAACGTGTCAAAAATCTGTGTATAAATAGCAAAGTTCAATCGGTAATGACCTTGCTACACGTACACTATGGTGTACACTTTAGTTTACACTGTGACACATGAGATTACTCTGTTGGAGAATATAAATTCCAAATAGTTTTGCCTTCTAATTTACGCTCGAGAACAATGCAAGTGCCAAACAACGTGTCAAAAATCAATGTACAAATAACAATTTTCCCATCCAATTGACACTTTACAACAATGCAAGTGTCAAACAACATGTCAAAAATCAGCGTACAAATATCAAGGTTCAATTTGTAAGAACCTTGCCACATGTACACTGTGGTATACACTTTAGTCTACACTTTGCCACGTGACATTGCCCTGTTGGACAGTTTAAATTTTAAACAGTTTTTCCATCCAATTGACACCTGATAACAATGCAAGTCCAAAACAACGTGTCGAAAATCAATGTACAAATAGCGTAGGTCAATCGGTAAGAACCTTGCGGCATGTACACTAAGGTGTACACTTTAGTTTACACTTTGCCACGTGACATTTCCTTGTTGGACAGTTTAAATTTAGAACAGTTTTCACATCCAATTGACACTTGACAACAATGCAAAAGTCAAAGAACGTGTCAAAAATCAATGCACAAATAGGAAGTTCAATCGGTAAGAGCCTTGCGAAATGTACACTATGGTGTACACTTTAGTTTATACTTTGTCATGTGACATTACCCTATTGGACAGTATAAATTTCAAACAGTTTTTCCATCCAATTCACACTTGAGTACAATGCAAGTGTCTAACAACGTGTCAAAAATTAGTGTACAAATAGGAAAGTTCAATCGGTAAGAACCTTGCGACATGTAAACTTTGGTGTACACTTTATTTTACACTTTATCACGAGACATTAGCCTATTGGACAGTTTTAATTTCAAACAGTTTTTCCATCCAATTGACACTTGACAACAATGTAAGTGTCAAACAATGAGTTAAAAATCAGTGCACAAATAGGAACGTTCAATCGGTAAGAACCTTGCGACATGCACACTATGGTGTATACACTTTAGTTTCCACCTTACCATGTGACATTACCCCGCTGGACAGTTTAAATTTCAAACAAGTTTCCATTCAATTGTCACTTGACAACAATGTAAGTGTCAAACAACGTGTTAAAAATCAGTGTACAAATAGCAAAGTTCAATCTGTAAGAACCTTGCTACATGTACACTATGGTGTACACTTTAGTTTACACTTTGTCATGTGACATTACCCTGTTGGACAGTTTAAATTTCAAATAGTTTTCCAATCCAATTGACACTTGACAACAATGCAAGTGTCGAACAGCGTGTCGAAAATCTGTGTACAAATAGCAATTTTCAATCGGTAAGGACCTTGCTACATCTATACTATGGTGTACACTTTAGTTTACACTTTGCCACGTGACATTACCTTATTGTACAATTTATTTTTCAAACAGTTTTCCCTTCCAATTGAAACTTGACAATAGTGCAAGCGTCAAACAACGTGCCAAAAATTAGTGTACAAATAGCAATTTTCTCATCCAATTGACACTTGACAACAATACAAATGTCAAAGAACGTGTCAAAAATCAGTGTACAAATAGGAAAGTTCAATCGGTAAGAACCTTACGACATGCATACTATCGTGTACATACTTTAGTTTACACCTTGCCACTTGACTTTATCCTACTAGACAGTTTAAATTTTAAAAAGTTTTTCCATCCAATTGGCACTTGACAACAACGCATGTGCCAAACAACGTGTCAAAAATCCGTGTACAAATAGCAAAGTTCAATCGGACCTTGCTACATGTACACTGTGGTGTATACTTTAGTTTACACTTTGCCACGTTCCCTGTTGGATAGTTTAAATTTCAAACAAATTTCCCATCCAATTGACACTTGACAATAATGCAAGTGTCAAACAATGTCTCAAAAATCTGTGAACAAAGAGCTAAGTTCAATCAGTAAGAACCTTGTGACATGTACACTCTGGTGTACACTTTCGTTTACACTTTGCCACGTGACATTACCTTGCTGGACAGTTTAAATTTCAAACAGTTTTTCCATCTAATTGACACTTGACAACAATGCAAGTGTCAAACAACGTGTCAAAAATCAGTGTACAACTAGGAAAGTTCAATCGGTGAGAACCTTGCAACATGTACACTATGGTGTACACACTTTAGTTTACACCTTTCCACGTGAGATTACCCTGCTAGATAGTTTCAATTTCAAAATAGTTTTCCCGTCCAATTAACACATTACAACAATGTAAGTGCCAAAAATTAGTGTACAGATAGCAAAGTTCAATCGGTAAGAGCCTTGCTACATGTACAACATGGAGTACACTTTCGTTTACACTTTGCCACGCACCGTGTTGGACAGTTTAAGTTTCAAACAATTTTCCCATCCAATTGACACTTGACAACAATGCAAGTGCTAAAAAACGTGTCGAAAATCTTTGTACAAATAGCAAAGTTCAATTAGTAAAAACTTTGCGACATGTACATTATGGTTTACACTTTATACTTTGCCACGTACCATGTTGAATAGTTTAAATTTCAAACAGTTTTTAGATGTAATTGCAACTTGAAAACATTTCAAGTGTCGAAAATAAGTGTACAAATAGCAAGATTCAATCGGTAAGAACCATCCCACATGTACACTATGGTGTACACTTTAGTTTACACTTTGCCACGTGACATTACCCTGTTGGACAGTTTAAATTTCAAATCGTTTTCCCATCCAATTGACACTTGACAACAATGCAAGTGTCAAACAACGCGTCAAAATCTAGTGTGCAAATAGCAAAGTTCAATCAGTAAGAACCTTGTGACATGTTCACTATAGTGTACACTTTAGTTTACACTTTCTCACGTGGCATTGCCCTGTTGGAAAGTTTTAATTTCAAACATTTTTTCCATCAAATTGACACTTGACAACAATACAAGTGTCAAACAATGTGTCAAAAATCAATGTACAAATAGGACAGTTCCATCGGTAAGAACCTTGCGACGTGCACACTATGGTGTACACACTTTAGTTTACACTTTGCCATGTGACAGTAGCCTACTAGACAGCTTAATTTTCAAATAATTTTCTTGTCGAATTGTCACTTGACATTAATGCAAGTGTCAAACAACATGTCAAAAATTAGCGTACAAATAGTAAGGTTCAATCAGTAAGAACCTTGCAACATGTACACTATGGTGTACACTTTAGTTTACACTTTACCACGTGTCATTACCCTGTTGGACAGTTTAAATTTCAAACAATTTTCCCATACATTTGACACTTGACAACAATGCAAGTGTGAAACAACGTGTCAAAAATCAGCATACAAATTGCAAAGTTCAATCGATAAGGACCTTGCTAAATGTACACTATGGTGTATACTTTAGTTTACACTTTTCCATGTACCCTGTAGGACAATCTAAATTTCGAATAGTTTTTCCATCCAATTGACACTTGAAAACAATGCAAGTGCAAAACAACGTGTCAAAAATCAGTGTATAAATACTAAAGTTCAATCGGAAAGAACCTTGCGGCATGTACACTCAGATGTACACTTTAGTTTGCCCTTTGCCACGTGACATTTCCATGTTGGATAGTTTAAATTTAGAATAGTTTTTCCATCCACTTAACACTTCACAACAATGTAAGAGTCGAACAACGTGTCAAAAATCAGTGCACAAATAGGAAGTTCAATCGGTAAGAGCCTTGCGACAAGCACACTATGGAGTACACTTTAGATTACACTTTGCCATGTGACATTAACCTATTGGACAGTATAAATTTCAAACAGTTTTTCCATCCAATTCACACTTGAGAACAATGCAAGTGTCTAACAACGTGCCAAAAATCATTGTACAAACAGCAAAGTTCAATCGGTAAGAACCTTGCGACATGTAAACTATGGTGTATAGTTTATTTTACACTTTGTCACGAGACATTACCCTGTTGGATAGTTTTAATTTCAAATAGTTTTTCCATTCAATGGACACTTGACAATAATGCAAGTGTCAAACAACGTGTCAAAAATCAGTGTATAAATAGGAAAGTTCAATCGGTAAGAACCTTGCGACATGCACACTATGGTGTACACACTTTAGTTTTCACTTTGCCATGTGACATTACCCTACTAGACAGTTTCACACGACGCTAGCTGCGCTTCGACATGGGAGCTCAGAATGAATCGAATAAGTTCTGGTTTTTCTGGAATTCGGGGACTAATGTTACTGTTATTGTTGATCATCCCCAGTTTCTTCACGTTAGAGTTGAGGATCCCAGACTAGCGCGTGCTATCTATTTGACTCCAGTCTATGCGTCATGCGATACTACTATCAGGAGAGATTTGTGGGCGGGTCTTCACCACATCTCCCTCGATATGGACGATCCTTGGCTAGTTGGAGGAGACTTTAATGTTATTACACATGATGGAGAGCGCACTGGTCATAATACCCGTAATCGTGGCATTACTGCTTTCTCTGATATGATGTTAGACTGTGGTTTAGAGGATGCAGGTTTCATTGGAAACCGATATACTTGGACCAATGGTCGGGTTAGAAAGAGATTGGATAGGGTACTTATTAATTCTACAGCTGTAGCTTTTTGTCGACAGCTTACAGTGAGACACTTGAATCGGACTTCATCTGATTACTCTCCTTTACTGCTTCAGTGGGTTCAGATTCCTCAATGTTTGGACCAAGCACCATGATTTTTTAGCCTTTGTCTCCCAGAAGTGGTCGCTCCCTACTCATCTCACAGGGATGACCGTTCTTTGGGAGAAGTTCTTCAGGCTGAAACAGGGTCTGTGCTGGTGGAACCGACATGTATTTGGAGATATTTTCCAGCGGGTGCGCGATACTGAGGTCGGGGTTAATGAGGCTGAGATAATATATGATAGAGATCCTACACCGGAGCACCGTAACTTACTACATCAGGCCTAGGCAGTTTTGAACCGGACCTTGTCTATTGAGGAGGGCTTTTGGAAGTAAAAGGCCGGTTCACGTTGGGCATGTGAGGGTGATCACAGTACTCGATATTTTCATGCAATGGTTCAGGGGCGTAGGATCAAATCGCGTATCAGGTCTATCAGGACACAGGCGGGGGAAGTGTTATCTACTCCTACTGATATTCAGACCTGGGCTGTTGCTTTCTACCAGGATCTCTTATCTGCTCCTCCACAACCCTTGGACCACATTCGTTCTGATATCATTCCGAGGCTATTGACGGTGGACGATAATCTGGCACTAAATTGCCCCCTTTGATTCATGAGGTCCGGGAGGCAGTTTTCAGTATTGATGCTGACAGTGTTGCTGGTCCGGATGGCTTCTCATCCCTATTCTTCCAGCATTGCTGGGATATCATTCAGGAGGATGTTTACAGGGCGGTATTGGATTTCTTTGATGGTGGTCATCTTCCACGGGGTTTTGCTGCTACTTCTATTGTCTTGCTACCTAAGAAGGATGGTGCTTGCAGATGGACTGAATTCAGACCAATCAGTTTATGCACAGTGTTCAATAAGATTATTACTAAGCTTTTGAACACTCGGTTGAGTACACTGCTACCGCGCATTATTTCCTCTCCACAGAGTGGTTTCATCCCAGGCCGTCTGATTGGAGATAATGTTTTATTGGCTCGGGAGCTTCTCTACACTTTAGATGATAGAGTGCGAGGGGAAAATACTATGCTGAAGTTAGACATGGCTAAAGCATATGATCGCATGGACTGGGGCTTCATTTATTCTGTATTGGAGGCATTTAGATTTGATCAGATCTGGATTAACAGAATCAGGCATTGCGTTTCGGAGTGTCATTTCTCCGTACTCCTAAATGGCCGCCCATGTGGTTTCTTTCCCTCCTCACGAGGACTCAGACAGGGTGATCCTATCTCCCCATCCTTGTTCATCATTACAGCAGACTACTTCTCACGCTTGCTCACTCAGAGGTCCCCATCCTTGTTCATCATTGCAGCAGACTACTTCTCACGCTTGCTCACTCAGAGGTTTCAACAGTATCCCAGTATGTGTTATCGACATGGAGGTAGTGCTCTTGTCTCACATCTCTCATTTTCTGATGATATGATCATCTTTGCCAACGGTCAGAAACAGTCTATCAGGAGGGTCTTAGATTGCTTGGAGCACTATGAAGGAGTTTCTGGCCAGTTGGTGAATAGAGACAAGAGTGGTATTATACTATCCAGACGGGCATCCACTAGTCAGATTAGATGACTAGAGATTTTGACTGGCTTCAGACATCAGCAGCAGCCTTTCACTTACTTGGGTGTCCCCTTATTCAAGGGGACTAAGAGGAGCTTCCTTTATGATGACCTTATCCAGAAGATAAGGAATAGGATATCAGGTTGGGCCTCACGATTACTATCGCCTGGGGGTCGTATTACATTACTGAGGTCAGTACTTTCTTCCATACCTTTACATCTTCTTCAGATTATGCAACCGCCCAAGGCAGTGCTGAAGAAACTTGAGAGCATCTTTGCCCGATTTCTATGGGATTCTAAGGATCAAGCACGACGGCTACATTGGAGGAGTTGGACGGCGATTTGCCTTCCTACTGATGAGGGAGGCCTCGGCTTTAGGAGATTACAGGATGTGGTGGACACCTTCTCCATGAAGCTCTGGTGGCTGTTCCGATCTCAGAGGTCACTTTGGGCTCAGTTTTTACTGGGCAAGTACTGTAAGGGGACAAATCCTTTACTTGCAGCAGTTCCCCGTTCAGCTTCCCCTACCTGGAAGAGGCTGAAATCAGTTGGAACACAGACGGATCCACACATTGCTTGGCACCTTGGAACCGGTCAAATTTTCTTCTGGCATGATTGTTGGATGGGCGAGTCCACGTTGGCATCCCTATTCCCCCACAGACAGCACACATCTGCGAGGGTACATGATTTTTTTGACGACACTGGGTGGGATTTTGGACGGTTATTACAAGCCCTTCCTTCTCACATGGCGGAACAGGTAGGGGCGATACCTTTATGTGCAGATGCCACGGACCAAATTGTTTGGAAAATTACTTCGGATGGTGACTTTACCACCAAATCAGCATGGCAACTAGTCCGTTCGGTTCGCCAGCCTCAGGACTCATATTGACTGCTGTGGAGCTCTATCTTGCCTGCCACTATTTCATTCTTCTGCTGGAGACTGTGGCAGGATCTCATTCCAGTAGATGTTGTTATTCAGAGGAGAATTGGATGTCAGTTGGCTTCTCGTTGTCAGTGTTGTTCCGAGATTGAGACCATCAATCATATTTTCACGAGCAGCAGCATCTCCGACCAGGTATGGCAGCACTTTGGAGACATCTTTCAAATACCTATGACTTCAGGGGAGGGGGTCAGACAGAGGTTCCAGAGATGGCGGTATTCTGGACAGTATGTTTACCGTGGACACATTCGTATTATCATTCCTCTACTGATATTTTGGTTTCTATGGACTGAGAGGAATGATGCGAAGCATCGAGGTATTCGTATGGTGGCCAAACGTATTATTTGAAAGGTCTACCGCATGATCTCCTTTCTTCATATGGGAGGACTATTCCGAGTTGAGCATTGGCGAGGAGATGTGACACTTGCACCTTTTTTTGGCATTTCTTTAACCCGTCCTCTCCCACCACCACCTATTATGGTTGTTTGGCCCACTCCAGCAGTTGGATCCTACAAGATCAACACTGATGGATGCGTCAAAGATGGATTTGCAAGTGGTGGAGGCATCATTAGGGACCACGTAGGATACTGTATCAGGGCATTCTCAGCATCGTATGGCCCATGTTTCACTTTGGAGGCTGCACTCAGAGCCATACTAGATGGGCTTCTATTGGCCAGAGGACGTGGGATTTTAGATATCTGGCTCGAGGCAGATTCAACATTGGCTATTCACTGCATTACCAAAGGTGGAGGACCATGGTCGATTCAGGGTATTCTTAGACAGATCAGAGACCTCATCTACTTCGATAGAGACACGATTTCACACATCTACAGAGAAGGCAACCAGGTTGCTGATTGTCTTGCTACAGAAGGCTGGAATCATCGGCGCTATCTAGAGTATGGACCACTAGAACTGCCTCGACATATTAGGGCGATAGTGCGGATCGATAGACATGGATTGCCCAGTTTTAGAGGTTCGTAATTTAGGCTATTTTTTATTGTATAGGGAAGTAGTACTTCCTCATTTATTGCTTTCGTTTTATTATATTTATTTGTTGCATCACTGCTTTTTGGAGGTCAGGTTCATGCCCCCCTCCTTCCGTGTATTCTTGATTTTTATGAAATAAATATGGTTGGGGAACCCTTAACCCCCATCGACCTTCCTTAGTGGACCCTAAAAAGTCACTAATGATGTGTGGATGTCAAAAAAAAAAAAAAAAAAAAAACAAAAAACCAAAAAAAAAAAACAAACCCTACAAGACAGTTTGAATTTCAAATAGTTTTCCCGTTCACTTGTCACTTGAAAACAATGCATGTGTCAGACAACGTGTCAAAAATCAGTGTACAAATAGCAAAGTTCAATCGGTAAGAACCTTGCTACATGTACACTATGGTGTACACTTCAGTTTACACTTTTCCATGTGACATTGCGCTATTGGACAGTTTAAATTTTGAATAGTTTTCCAATCCAATTGACACTTGACAACAATGCAAGTGTAGAACGTGTCAAAAATCTGTGTACAAATAGCAAAGTTCAATCGATAAGGACCTTGCTACATCTACACTATGGTGTACACTTTAGTTTACATTTTGCCACATGACATTATCCTATTGTGCAGTTTAAATTTCAAAAAGTTTTCCCATCCAATTGAAATTTGACAACAGTGCAAGCGTCAAACAACGTGTCAAAAATCAGTGCACAAATAGCATTTTTCCCATCCAATTGACACTTGACAACAGTGCAAGTGTCAAACAACGTGTCAAAATCAGCGTACTAATAGTAAAGTTCAATCGGTAAGGACCTTGTTACATGTGCACTATGGTGTACACTTTAGTTTACACTTTCCCACGTACCCTGTTGGATAGTTTAAATTTCAAACAGTTTTCCCATCCAATTAAAACTTGACAACAATGCATTTTATCAAACAACATGTCAAGAATCAGTGTACTAATAGCAAAGTTCAATTGTTAAGGACCTTGCCACATGTACACTACGGTGTATACTTCAGTTTATTATTTGCCACGTACCCCATTAGACAGTTTAAATTTCAAACAAATTTTCCATCCAATTGACACTTGACAACAATGCAAATGTCAAAGAACGTGTCAAAAATCAGTGTACAAATAGGAAAGTTCAATTGGTAAGAACCTTGCGACATGCATACTACGGTGTACACACTTTAGCTTACACCTTATCAGGTGACATTATCCTGCTGGATAGTTTAAATTTTAAATAGTTTTCCCGTCCAATTGACACTTGACAACAACGCAAGTGCCAAACAACTGTCAAAAATTAGTGTACAAATAGCAAAGTTCAATCGGTAAGGACTTTGCTACATGTACACTATGGTGTATACTTTAGTTTACACTTTACCACGTACCCTATCGGACAGTTTAAAGTTCAAACAAATTTCCCATCCAATTGACACTTGACAACAATGTAAGTGTCAAACAATGTGTCGAAAATCTGTGAACAAAGAGCAAAGTTCAATCGGTAAGTACCTTGTGACATGTACACTATGGTGTACACTTTAATTTATACTTTGCCACGTGACATTACCTTATTGGACAGTTTAAATTTCAAACAGTTTTTCCTTCTAATTGACACTTGACAACAATCCAAGTGTCAAACAACGCGTCAAAAATCAGTGTACAAATAGGAAAGTTCAATCGGTGAGAACCTTACGACATGTACACTATGGTGTACACACTTTAGTTTACACCTTTCCACGTGACATTACCCTGCTGAACAGTTTAAATTTCAAAATAGTTTTCCTGTCCAATTGACACT